CCTGCTGAGGGCTCTTTCATAACTGCACAACCTTCACTTGAGGAGTCAGAGCTTCATTCTCTTTGCAGCTTGGCCGATGACCATCACCACAGAGAACCTGTGTATGATTCGAGTCCTCCCTCAGCTAGTAGATTCCCATCATTTTCCTCAGTATCTTCTGATAACCAAGTAGAGATACCTAAACAAAGTGAGGAGCAAACAGGAGAAAGTATGGATAAAGAACCTGAAGTGTATTCCGAATGCTCAGATCAGAAACTTTACGACCTTGAGGAAGAAGTTCATTCCACTTCCGCTGTGAATGCTTCTGATGAAACTGAATCAAGAACTGGCCAAGCTGTGGAGACTACTAGCAAGCACACCGTGGGAGAGGTCAGTCTTTCCGCTGTTGAGACTGGAATTGGTTGTCAAAATGATCCAATGGGTTCATCCCCAGTATTCGAGGACGCCCCAGTTAATCCATCTTCTCTGTCTTCGGACAAGGATGATGACGACGCTGTTGATCACCGTGAGGATAACGCCACTTTGTCTGACTCTAGTCAAGAGGATCGGGAGGAAACACATGAAGATGTCAAAGAGACAGCAGATACCAGAATTTCAGATAATAGTGTGTCTTCAGGAGACTTGGCATCTCCTACAGCAGAGGAAGCACTTAGGGAGGTTGAACATTTATCAACCCATCAGACATGTTCACTTTTGGACACTGGAGAGACAAGGGAGCACTCGAAAACTCCGGAAGACACACTTGATGTTTTGCAAGACAAAGCAGAAACGTCAGTAGCTGAAGGGACAACAACAAAAGAGGAAGAAGAAGATCCGAAGTTAAAAGGCCAAGCTTCTGTAACCTTTGATGCAGACATTCCAATTGACAGTTACTCTACATTGTCTTCTGGAGCAGTTGAGTATGTTGAGACACACTCATTTAACGAGGAAGATGTTCCACAGTCTGAACAAGATAAGGGCCAGTCATCGAATTCTGATACTAAGGCAGATTCTTATCTCAACCAGACAATGGACATCGAAGTAGACTCTGTAAATGCCAGTAACCAGAATGTGCCTTCTGAAGGAACATCTCCATCAGAATCAGATAGAGAACTTACCTGGTCAGATAAATCCGTGGTTGAACAATCAACTCTTGAACACAGAGAACATCAAGTAAGTCAATATAACTTGTCTCCTTTAATTGATGCATACTATTCAAACATTTGCTTATCTAATTTAGCATACTCGCTATCTTCTACTCGTCTCCCATTTGCTTGGAAAATCATATGTCATACACAAATATTATGGTGGCGAAGATAGCGAATCAATGGGATTAGTTGCCTCAATGCATTGAGACATCTATGACAAACATGTTTTCTTACAGTGAAATTTTGTTTATTGCAGCAACCAACTCGTACAGGCCCTGTTACTGTTGTCTTTTCCAGAAACATTACTTTCCATGAATATCACGATGCAGAGGAGGATACAACCGAGTTGTCTTGCTTGACTTCTGACTCGTCCTCACCTCCTCCAGAATCTCCTGAATACAAAACACCTATGGTTGGTGAAGGTAGTGGAGCAGAATTTTTCCATGACACCACTGCCGTAAATGAAGAGCTCGACCATGTATTAGAACCATTACATCAACCATTGGAGTTACATGAGACATCTCAAAGTCCTCCAGAAGTTATCAATGAAGAGGCCGACGAGATAAAGGAGATTGATGACGGTCTCTTGTCCAATCTTAACACGGTTGGAGACTTCGGTGTTAAGGAAGTTGTCACGAATTCTGAACCTGGGCCATCTACAAGAGAACCAGACACTGCTGCAGAAAGGACTGAGACACTGCCTGTTCTTGAAGCGAGATCGGTTCAAGATATACAATCTGCTTTCCAGCAGATCCACGAAGGATCTGAGGTTGAGGAGGTTATTCTTCCAAGCACCATTCAAGATCAGCTAGCACTGGAGACATCCGGAAATTCAGGAGAGATGAAATCAGAGCTAGAGGTTGTGGACGCTAGCTCGATGGAAGATCTAGATAAAGCAATGAAGCGGGCCTTGGAAGAAAACACGATCGAGCAACCTGAGTCACCTAAATCAGAGGATGGCTCAGCAGAAAGGGTGGAGGCTCTGCCTGTTCTCGAAGCAAGGTCAGTTGAAGATCTACAATCTGCTTTCCAGCAGATCCACGAAGGGTCAGAAGTTGAAGAGGTTATTCTTCCAAGCACCATTCAAGATCAGCTAGCTCTGGAAACATCCGAAAATTCAGGAAGTATGAAGTCGGAGCTAGAGGTTGTGGAGGCTAAGTCCATGGAAGATCTAGATAAAGCAGTGAAGAAGGCCTTGGAAGAAGACATGGACGAGCAAATCAAGCTACCAGAATCAGAAGATGGCTCTGCAGAAGTCAATGGTGCAATAGAAACCAAATCATCAGAGTCTTCCGTTGAAGAAAGATCTGTGGATACCACAAATGATCCTCTGAATGATGCACCTGAGGAAGAAAAAGAAGCAGCAGAACATGAAGTAATGAAGTCATTAGATGTTTCAATAGTTGAGGTTAGATCATTGGAGGAGCTTCCAAGACCTTCTGAATCAAAGGACAGGACAGATGCAGAAGAAAAAAAGTCATCAAATTCAAATGTTCCGTTCTTCGAAGCATCAACACTAGAGGAGGTTCCGGAACCTTCTGAACCAAAGGAGAGGATCACCACAGAAGTCACCTCTGAAAGAGCTCTTCCTGCAGTAGGCACTGATTCTAGTGACGTGACAGCATCCATTGCCGAAGAAAGAAGCAATCTTGTGACAGAGGAAGCGAAAGCTGAGACTGTCACAGTTGTTGAGGCCACTGCACTTAGTCCCAAGCCTAAAGAAACTTCAGAGAATTCGGGTGAAAGCATTTCAGAGGGAAAAAAGAAGAAGAAGAAGAAGTCGGAATCTGATTCTTCCAGTTCCAGCTCCAGCTCGAGCGACTCGGATTAAGCATTTCAACTTGCAAATCATAATCTTCATTCCATGGTGATGATAGGCATTTCAGAATTTTTTGAGAGTGTGTGCTTATCTTATTACTTCCTGCAGAAGAAATACCGTCAGTTTTGTACCGAGTCTTCTTTTTGTTGTGTGTTTTTTTAAAACAATTTTGTGTGTTGTTATTTTTTCTCATTGAGCTTATGTTATTTATTGATAGGTTTGACTGATTTGTATCTCATGAAGGTGTTTTGTGGTTCATTTTCTACACCAAAGATTTTGCTTCGGGTCTAACCTAAAGTTTTGCCAACAACCGAATGCATAACTAAAACTATATTCTGCACTCCAAAAATGCAATACAGAACAAAAGGAGACAGCAAAAACTTACAAAACTCTGTACACAGTCTCTATGGTTTCTGTGTTCTGCTACTGCTTGTGTTTCTTCTGTGCAGGTTCACTACCACTCATTCCCTATCATTAAATTATCACCATAACGTCACAACAGTAGATGGTTAGGTTTTTAGGGAGATCAATCCAAATAGCCCATGACAGAGGACTATAAAAACTGATGATTTGCTTTAATATGAAGAGAGGTTAAGGAAGAACAAAAAAAAAAAAAAAATCGAATAGAGAACTTACGGAGCTTGAGAGTTTCTCGCTGATGTGAGTTAATAGACCTCAAGACAGTTTCGAGTATATCCATGGTAACTTTAAATTTGACTTCTGTTTCTCATGGAGGTTGCTCTCTGCAATCTTCCAGCTTCATGTTAAAAGTGAAGGAGTCAGTAATGTCGATATGGTCCAAACTTAGCCAAGTTTCTAAGAAATTACAGGCCGGAGTTCTGGTGCAACAGATCTAAGCATATTTTAGGGTTCTTGAATTCGGCAGTCTATTTGATATCAGGCTACAGGCCTACTTCTAGAATAGGTGATCATATGACAAAAGGGTAAACTATGTGGTTTAATTAACACTGTATATGTAGTTCATGTTAAGAGTCTCATTCTAAGAAAGAGAGTATAACTCATATTCATACCAAGAGGCTGTCAATTGCCACTCTGTCAACAGGCTTAGATCTGGGTTCTCAATGACCCACTTTATGAATTTGAAGCTTTGGACTTCACCCTGTAGAAAGAAAACAAAGCGGCACATGAGAAAATCCCATCGATATCAGCAATCTTCTATTAAAATTCTGTATTTTGGGTGATTCGAGAATGATGGGTGAGAGATAATTAAGACTATAGTTATCACTCGGAGTAGAAGTAGCTTTGCCTTTAGCATACCAAACTACCTGCAGTACCAACAACATTTTGAAGAGGCATCGAACAAGGATGTAAGACTCCATGGTCACTAGCATTAACTGATGCAGAACGATCAACGTTATCAGAAGTAAGATACGGAATATGATGATCTTGGTAAGCCAACAACGCTGAACTTTGTGACGATGGAAGGGATAACAAAGGGTGGGATGAAGGTCGTGAAGGTCTTGAAGGCTGCATAAAGCAACCGTCACAACATAACAACACAGCTTAGAAAATAGTAGGAGAGACAGAGAGAGATAGATAAAATACATCATCCAGTGTGAGCAGAGTATCTCTATCCTGAAATGGTGGGAGCCAATACACAAGAATCCATTTTTCTTATTCGATTGATCTAGCTCTTGGATTTGAGGGATACCTGCTCCTTGCATAGTTTTTCCTTCCAAGAACGTGTGTATTTATGCAGCACTCGCACTAGCATCTCTTGCAAGTCAAGCGATAGATCAGGTGGCAAGAGCTTTTAGAAGATCCTCATTCGTGATGCTTTCACGTGTGCATTTCCGGATAAGGGAGCGAAGGCATGCCAAAACCTAATTGTCAGATTTTTTTTAATCAGTAATCAGTAATATGTCCAAACTTTTCAACCTTGACATGGAATCATTGTTTTCATCCGACAGAAAACCCATCTGAATTGCGCTAAATGAAACAAGCACATATGATACTGCTATTTTCCGAACTAAATTTGATTTTTCAATGCGAGCAAAAATCTTTGACAAAAAGTTGGCCCATGAAACTCGTCTGAAGAGTGCAGGTTTTCCTTCATCCAACACACACTTATTATAATTTGATGGAGTGCAGGGGTGGAGACATATAAGTTGGAAGTTTTACATAAAATTAATGCGAAAAAGAACTTCTAACTCGATCTTCTCATCGAGGAAAGAGAATTCTAAATTTCTGAAGAACCCATCATGCGATTTCGACAATTGATCAAACCAAGTACGAAATCCATGTTTCAACACTCGAACGAAGAAACCCAAATCCCCCAGCACAAACACAATAATCACACCACAAAACCAAACGAATGATAACCCAAGGAAACAGAGCGTCTTACAGGGTCGAGTTCTCTGGCAGAGGAGAGTCGCAGAAGAGATTGGAAGCTCGATTTCTCCGGTGACCGGAGACCCATTTTACGAGTTCTCCACAGCGTCGTGATGATCTTCTCCAGCGATTCCTCCGAAGTCATAGACGATAACTTCAGAATTTGCGCGTAGAGGTCGTGACTCGTGATCTTCCATCTCCCTCCCTTTTCTACCGTTGGAATTCAAGTTCAACAAAATGGGGGTTTAGGGTTTGTGAAATGCCACTTGTTTATTAATCGCACAAAAATACCGAATACCGTCACCAAACCGGATGGTACATTAACTAAACCAAAACGCAAACCGGATACTAAACCAGGTCCTAGTTTAACGTGTCCACACGTCGGTGACGGGTAAACCCGAATAAAGCCCCAAATATATATATAGGATTCAGCAAATTCTACCGTTTGGAATTTGCTACGAGAGTTTCCTTGAGAACTTTTTCGGGTTTTTCAAATTTCGTGGGCTATTCCTACCTTTCTCCGGAAGCACAAATCCTCATCTTTCCATCAAAATCAGGGTGGCGTAAGAGAATCGACCGAACCCATTCTTTTGATTCTCTTTTTTCCTTTAGTTTTTGTTTCATTATCTATGTTGACTCGTAAAATTTTGGACTTTTGATTTTGGCTTATGAAGATTCTAGACTGGAGGTGTGAAGTTGAATCTGCGATTTGGTGCTTTCAAGCGATTGTGGTTTTTCTGGGTCTTGTAGGTGGTTTTTTTCCGCAATTGAGGATTAGGGTTTCTTCTGACGAGGTCTTGTTCTGTTTCGTTTGCTGCTTTGCGAAAATACAAGATTGCCAATTCCTGTTGAGTTTTCCTTAATCTGATTTCTTTGGGGCTTTTCGGGTCAGTTTAGCGAAATTTCATTCGCATCTTTAATTTTTCTTTTTTTTTGTAATAGATTGGCGTTCAGTTTGTACTACTGTTGATCAGTTTTGAGAGCAAAACTTTCGTGGAATCTAAGAACTTGAACATGTCTTGGGTGGATAAATCGAGCAAAATTGAAAACTTCTGTTGGATTTTATCCACCAACAAATGAAAGATCTAAACTTGACGGTGACACCATTGAAATTGTCTCAATTTTTCTTGCATTTGTTTAATTTGCTGGTATTACAGTGGTCAATCTGCTTTTTCTATTGCTCTACGCAATGGCTTCTGCCACTTTGAGGAGACGGCTTCATCATGGAGACGTGGACGGTAGGAGGTACGAAAAGTATGACACGACCGGCGGCTCTGAAACCGAAAGTCTCAGCGAACCGTTATTGGGAAGTAGTTGCCGTAGAGACGAGTTCAGTGAGGTCAGGGGGGTTTGAGTGTTTTCCCTCTCGATTTCAAGTGGTGTGCAATAGAAGGAGAATAACCTTTTTCTAACCCACGAGCCATGGTGTGTTTTTCAGGATCGTACTCTTGAGGAAATATGGGATGAAGAACAGAAGAGACAGCAAGTCCACTGGACCTTGATATTTTCTCAGCTGATTGTGCAATGGGCTCAATGGATAGGTTTGTTGTCTTGTTGCTACCTCTCCTTGATGATATAGTCGGAGGTTGTAATTGAATATCGTTCATGTTTTTGCAGCAAATATTGTCTTTGGATCCGGATCACTTGTCGGGAGGTTCTTGCCTCTGCATGCTTTTAGTCGAGTTGGTACAGGTGGGAGGCTTCTACCATCCACCCTTAGTCCTTTGCAGGTATCTCTCGATTGAGTATAATGGAAAAAGCTGCATCGTATCTCTTGATCCTCACATTTTCATGTTAATGTTCCGGGTCTAATTCGATTATTTTCATCGTAGTTTATGATTCTCTCATTTCCAGCTTTACATGGTCAATATGAGTCTGTCACTTATGATGTGTATCGGTCTGAATTTTACCTCTTACTAGGAAGAAAGGTTGAAGAATCTTCAGCGAAGACTAGAAGTCCCATTTGATGGATCTCGAACTGAGCATCAGGCAGGTTTTTCATGATTTGCTTCCTACTGATTTTTAGAAATCTACCCTCAGTGTCATATCCCTCCCATTTCGTTGACTGAATTTTTCACATCTGCTTCTCTGTGATGTTTGACAGGATGCGCTTAGACAATTATGGCGGCTGGCTTATCCACATAGGGAACTCCCACCTCTCAAATCTGAACTCTGGAAAGAAATGGGTTGGCAAGGAACTGACCCTTCAACGGATTTTAGGTATGACGACATAACTTCATTGTATTAAAAGTTCTTCCTACTTCTTCTACATGGCACTTTATCGATGACCGGTTTGTATACAGGGGTGGAGGATTTATATCACTGGAAAACTTAATCTTCTTTGCCAAGACTTACCCGGTCTGTTCTGCAATCTTTATCTCACATCTGTATCTCAATTTTCTCATGCCCTCTTAAGTGGCCGACGGATTCTCTTGTGAAGTGAAAGTTACTTCTGACACAAGTTTTCGTTCCGAACGATTATAACAAGGAGTGTGTAATTCGTGACAACAGGAGTCATTCCAGAGGTTGCTGCATAAGCAAGATGGAACAAGGTCCGAATGGGAATATCCTTTCGCAGTTGCTGGCATCAATATCTCGTTCATGCTGGCACAAATGCTGGATCTTCAATCAGGTAAAAAGGTTGAAATCCCTCAAGAAACGAGCGGCAAACCCGACCATCACTTACATTACGGTTTCTGGATTTGTGTATCCTTCATATAAGATTAAACACCAACCCTGTAATGGTAACCATGGTTTTTGTTTCTACAGGGCAACCGTCCTCTGTAGCCGGGATAAGGTTCTTAGGGTTTCTTGAGGAAGAAGAAACAGCTTTCGATGACCTTTACTGTTTAGCTTTCCAGATGATGGACGCTCAGTGGCTTGCCAAACGAGCTTCTTACATGGAATTCAACGTAAAATCATCTTTTTCCTTGCCCAATCTCCAGTCTGGTGTTTGGTTATGGATTCCGGTTATGTGTTACATGTTAACCGGAATTCTGGTTCGGTTTTTGCAGGATGTTCTCAAATCGACGAGAACTCAGTTGGAACTTGAATTGGCTATTGAGGACATCTCGAACATCAGAGACTTGCCTTCTTTCACTTTACTGGGGAGATAATCTCCATCTTCCTCTTTTTTGTCTCTTTTTATTTCTTCCCGTACTTATATATGATTCTTGGAAATTCATATACGAATATGTAACTTTTTCTCGAGGAAAAGTTATTTGCTAACACATGCATTGATGCATATACAATAAGCTCATTACATCTTCCTGTATTTACATATGATTCTTGGAAATTCATATGCTAATATATAACTTTTTTTTTCGAGGGAAATTATTTACATAAAGCTTAGCATCTATGCGCATATTCAAACACGTATATATTAGTTTGATGCTCATAAGTCATAAGATGAAACAATCCAACAATTTGACAAATTCTAGCATGTTTCTCTCTCTCTCCACCAATTACGAATGAGAATGTACCAATAAAATGACAATAACATGACAAAACTGCTTGAGTTACGCTTTTTTTTTCTCTACTCAAGTGTGGTCTGTCTCTCATTCAAGAATCAAGATGAAGTAGCCGCCGCTTCATCTTCCCCTTCTTTGTTACTTTCTCCGGCCTCTTCCCCTCCAGGTTTCTCGTCTTCTTGATGAGCCTTGGCTGGTCCCGGACCAGCCGATACTTTCACCATTGAAGGCCGTAACAGTCTATCGCCCAGCATGAACCCTTTCCTGTATTCTTCGAGTATGATCCCCTCTTCGAACTCCGATGAATCCTCTCTCATGATAGCCTCATGTTGCTTTTACATTTGCCCAAGAGAAAGCAAAGAACATCACAGATGTCAGAAATCAGGACTCAATTGCAAAATCAAGAAGCTTCAACAGTCATTTCCCCCCCGGGAGATATGACAGACAAGTGAGATTTCTACTTCACTGGCATTGTGTACAAGTAAACATAACCAGCAACATGATGAAATTTTGATAAGGTTTTGTGTCATAATTTCTCCCTTCCATCTGACTATCTTGCCATGTAAAATTCCACTGCGTCTGATCAAGATTCGTCGAGATATTAAAAATCTGTTTTTAAAGTGCCCATCTTCAATGCTCAGGACAATTGCTTATCTCTAACAATCCTAAAAACAAAAAGAAGTAGCTTTTATGGGAGGAGAAGACATGAACTTACCATTGGATCAAATTGCTTTCCGACTGTCTCGACAGGGACAACGCCGAGCGAACCCAGAATTTCTACAAATTGTTTGTAAATGCTCTGGTAGCTGTTAGTGATTTTCTCTTCTCCCTCGGACTCCACCTTAATTTGGGTCTTGGCCCTCTCGAAATTATCCAGAACTGACAATAAATTCTCTACAACCTCGCCTTGAGCATTTGACACAAGGGAAAGCCGTTCCCTCTCTGTCCTCTTCCGGAAATTGTCAAAATCAGCACTGATCCTAAGAACCCGATCCCTCTCCACCGATAATTCATCTGATAAAGACGCTATTTTCTTCCCAAGCTGTATCTTTTCATCTTCAATGGCCTTTAAAGATGCCTCTATCTCAGCAACCTTGCCTTCATCGTTGTTAGCTAGAGCTTCCTTATACGATTGAAGCAATGCCATTACAACTGATGCTTCTGCTTCCTCAACTTCTCTGCCCTCAGCACTGGCGTCTTCACCCTCGACTCCAACAGCACCGTCTGTGTCCTGCACCATAATTTTTTCCAATCAGAAACCAGAAGAAAAAAAAAGCATTACGATTTACAGAGACATGATTGGCGAGTCAGCGTTCGTTGGCACCAAATTCAACTGTTTCAATGTCAATCTCCATCTCCCATCTTGAAAGACATCCTACTCATCCATACCAGCTAAGCCCGAGTTTCCAATTCTACGTCAGGCACCTGAATCGCCTGAACACGAAGCCTTTTCGCATCCATCTATTGCATTCATATGGAACTTTGTCCGTTGGACAGCAATACCGGACAAAGATTCAAACTTTAAGCAAAGAACAGCAGAGTTCGAAACCCCCATATCACAAATCAAGCAGCGAAATTTCACAAAACCCTAGTGTTAAATCCACAGTTCCCCGTATACAGGAACCAAACAAAATCAGAAATGAGCTAAAAAGCGATACCTTGATTTCGGGTTCGCCAGCTTCCGCCTCCGTCTCGGTGGTCTCGGTCTCTCCAGACGCAAATCCTACGAATCTTAGGAGCCGGAGAGACTGCCCAGAATCAAACCGGAGAGAACAAGAAGTCCGGCGAGAGAACGAGACTCTGGCGACGGCATCTGAGATTCTTCCTCCGGCGAAGGAGACGCAGAAGGGCTTGAAGGGTACGAGGTCGGGGGCGTGAAGCGGCGGAGAAGAGAGGCGAAGCGACGGCGTTTTGAGGAGAACGGCCATGGAGTTGGAAGAAGAGAGGGATAAGGAGGCGAGACGGAGAGTTTCCCGACGTGAGCTCACGCGAACGCCTTATGTTCTCTTTGTTTGGTTTCTAGCCGTTGGATGATATCCTTTGGTATGCCGATCGGACGGTCATGAGAGAGTTCCTGGAATATATAGATGTTTTAATGTTTATATATATTTTGGAACTCTTGTAAGAAGATTCTAGATTATTATTGAAAATTTTCGAGCTGTTTTGTTTCTTCCTTTGGAGTTATTAATTTATATGTGCTTTATATTTCGAACTAGTCTCTAGATTATATCAAAATATGGATAGACCGCCTAACACACAAATGAAATGAAGTGAAAAGCCTAACGCTTTAAAATAGTATATGAATATAATCAATGAAGAGTGTAGTTGGAAAAATTATAAGAAAAAAAGTATATCTCGTGTGTCTAATATTTTAACATCTTTTTCATTTTTTATTAATTGTATCTCGTCAATTTTTAAATTTTCAAATTATATCAACGGGTAAGATTCAAACGTTATATATAATTTTAAAAAAGTTTCTAAAAAATCATCAATATCTAAATTATCTATCTCGAATAATTTTTAAGGATATGTTTTTAAAATGTTTATTCAATACTTAAATATAATAAAATTTCCATACCTATCTTTTTTTGATTAATTATAATACAAAAAATAATCATCAAAATTATGGTTTCTAACAATCTCGTGACAATATGACCATCTTTTACAATCTCTCTTAAGGAGATAGATAATCATATGATCATCATCACGATACATATACACATGATGACCTTACGGTCATTTTTTGTATTATACATAGGAGTTATTCGTATTGTCAATTTTTATTTTATATTAATGGAAAAGTAATTTAAAAATAAAATTAAATAAATCAGGTCATGTGACAATGGCAGTCCACCCTTGAATACTCTAGGAATGGAAATGGATGCAATGGACCGCTACATAACCCTTCTTCACCCGCCGTTGAAATCTATCCTTAGAATTAACTTTTTTTTTTTTATCTAAAAATAGTTGGATTTCGAGAAATATAATCAAATCAAACAAGAAAATACGGATCCAAGATATTTGATCTGTAAAATAATTAGGTTTAATTTCTGAAAAAATGTAAAAAAATTGAACCTATTTTTTAAAATATTATTTATAAAAACGAAGCACATATTATGTAAGTTTTGCTAACTTACAAAATCCATTATAATGATGAAACATGCTTTGATTTTCCCCTCTTTTTCCAAAACAGTACGCATTTAGAAACGTCGTCTCTGAGTTGTGGATAGCTGTTTAGTTTGATTAATTGAAAGAAAAAATAAAAATGAATTATCCTAATATCAATAAATCAAATGCCGTCTTGTACTAATTATTAAATAAATCATAAATATCACATACATATATATATATATACATATAATTCTGTGTATATAAGTGTTGAATTAGTTTTATTTAATAAAAAAGAGAGATTAATCCACCGTGAATGAGAAAAATATCTCATCTCATGCCGATTTTAGTCAACGAGTCAAATTAATAAAGGTAAAATTAAGAAAGAGAGATTAATAAACCGTGACTGAGAATGAAAAAAAAAATCTTAGGCCGATTTGAGTCAATGAGTCAAACACCGGTTCTAAATCCAAGCTGATAATATCCAATACGTCATGTCAATTTTATTCATGAATTTGACGATTCAATTATATATAATTTAGCATTTATAACAATACGAACATGGACGTATACGGGCTCCTCCCATGCAAATATATTCTCTCTTTTTTTTTATGAAAGCAAATGTATTCTTTGTTGCACCTCCAGCCTATAAATCCTCCCTTAGGACTCTTCCTTCTCCACACACCCTCTCTCTCTCTGACCGATGAGTGCTTCGAATTTTCCCGGAAAATGGGTGTCGGCGATCAACGCCGCGCCAACTCGGGCCGTCTTCATGTTCTTCGACGTTCTCGATGAGCTTCTCTGCGTCAGTTTCAGATTACTCGACGAGTGCTTGGAGGGAAAATCCAACTCGTGTTACTGCTCAAAACCTGTAGAGAACAAATACGAGGATCCCGAGTTCTTGTCCGAAACCCTCTTCCGCAGGAGAAACTTTCTCAGGGAGACCAATCTCCTCCGTTTCGCGAGGAAGCCAGAGCTCTCCAAGAAAATGGGTCTTGTTCGTTTCCTGAGAAAGTTTCTTTTCCCCGAGAAAATGAAGAGACGCGGCAGTGAGCCGGCGAACCGGTGGTCGGATTGTGGATGCAAGAACTGCGTCTCCTGGACCAAATCCGATAAGCTCAATGTCGTGGTTAAGCAGCCATCATTACAAGGTAAATACCTTATAATCAAACCTCGTCAGAGCTGTTTCTTTTTCCTTTTCTACGATCACGACAAAACGTTTAACGTCAAATCAGATTTCTTGATGAACAACAAACCGACGGAGAACGTAATCCTCATACATGGATTCATGGGGTCTTCATCGTTTTGGACGAACACAGTGTTGAAAAACCTCTCAGAACATGCAACAAGCAACTACAAATTCTTCGCGGTTGATCTTCTCGGATTCGGTGATAGCCCGAAACCCAGAAACAATCTTTACACGTTGAAAGATCACGTCGAAATGATCGAGAAATCGGTGATTTTACCATACGGATTGAACTCATTCCATGTCGTTGCCCACTCCATGGGATGTATCATCGGTGTTGCCTTAGCTTCAAAGTACTCCACCATTGTCAAATCCGTTGCTCTGGTGGCTCCGGTGAGTAAATTCCAACCCTTGATTGATTATTACATCTCGCCGTCGCGACTAAAAGATTGATACTTTCCTCTTGCCCTCGAATTCCGAAGCCATACTTTGCCAATTCAGAAGGCGAAGGAGCAAGTTTAGGTGTTCTTGATGTCATCGCTGAGAAGAAACTATGGCCTCCTCCTGCATTTTTCACGGCCGTGATGTCTCGGTACGAGCATGTCGGCCGCTGCATCTGCTTCATTATCTGTCGTCACCACCGAATATGGGAGAGAATCATCAAGATCATAACGTGGAAAAGGTATAGAATAAAAAAGATCAGTTTTTTTTCATTTCCATGGTTTTATACATATAGAGTGTTGATGATATTTTAGGGTTTTCAGAAGCATATCGCCGATGATAAGGGACATGACGAAGCATACCCATCACTCGGCGTGGCACAGTGTGCACAACGTGATCTGTGGAGGGGCGAAATTCACGGATAGAAATCTCGGCGTTCTTGCGGATTCCGAAGTCAGGATCCACGTGGTGCAAGGGGATCTCGACGAGGTCGTTCCTCTCGACTGCATTCGGAACATGAAGACAAAGTTTCCGACAGTAGAAGTTGAGATTGTCGCCGGTACCGATCACCGTACAGTCATAACCGGTAGGAGAAAGGCCTTCACTGCAAAACTGGAAAGTTTATGGGATTCTATTGAAAAGAATCAAAATGGCAGTTTGGCACAAGGAAACTTCATAACGAGTTCCTGATGCTTCTATTAGACAATAACAGTGTAATCACAACACGGTAATGTATATCTCAAGTAGTTCTATCTAAGATGTAACAAGTATGGATTCGTGGAACGTAAGTAGTTCTATCATTTTGAGCAATATACGATACGAATCAGATATCCTAGGAACTGATGACTATGAAGACAAACATTTCATATAAGAAATGGGCAGATCAAAAGGCTTTTGATCATTGGCCAAGAGAATGTTTACCTGTTGCCACCGTCGAAAACTCTCCTCAAATTGATCAGCTTTTTTCGGTTTGAACACGGAATTCTCCACTGTATCTACGTTATATATACCTCGAGCACATTACAGTGAAACAATGGAGCTGTTTCTGTGTCTCTTGGACCAGGAGGCGAGTTTTTCAGTTTGGTATATCCAAAGATTTTACCTCTCTGGAGAGGTTTTTATTGTTTGGAACACCAAGAACAACTTGGGTTATTGTAACGGATGAAGGAAGATGGCATGGTGACAATAAGCTTGTTCCACTTTGGCTGCTGCCATGAAAGAAAACCTGAGTCCTGTTTTTTTTCCCATTCGATGGTATCTGCTGTTATGGTCTGCTTGTTCATATCGTCAATAACATTGTATCACCAATTAAAGATCTGAAATGCCAGAACACGAAGAAGTAGATGTGTAATAACCTTTCCAGGACTTATGTCTCCGGTTTCTTCTGCCTCAGCTTTCATGCTCAGACCGATCCTACGACGAGGAAAACAGATGAATCGTGAATGAAATGTTTTAACTTCGAAAACTAGACATAGAACTCGATGCTCAGCCATAAAGCATAACATATAACCACAAGAATGAAAATGCAAATCGGTAGTCAACCATCAACGTGCTATTACCCAGAATCCACTGAGTGAAAAACTTCCATAGACATAAAGACGAGGAATTTGCCCCCTCACCGGCACTTGACGCTTCGACAGGGTTCCATGGATTCAAGGTTTGCAGCAATGTCCGCAACACATCCATCTGTGATTCTATTAAGATAAACCATTGGTGTTATTCCCATCAACTACACTCCGAAAGTATTGCAAAACACGAGCTTGAAACCCAAATCAACCAATTCACAGCGGAAAACACTAAATTCTTCTCATGAGAGAAAAGGGTCTTCAGCATCCACCTGAACTTGACGGGAAACGAATCATTTCTCGCATTATAGAGAGCTCACTCTGTACCCTCGAAGAACGACCGGGAAAACTGGTAAAGTTTCGGCCTTTCCGGGCTGCAATTAGGGCTTCATGGTCGTAAAGATTCGCAATTTCGAGAAAATTCGGCGGCGAGGAAACTCACTTGAGTGACATCTTCGGAAATATTAACTGTTTCTTATCAGCTCTTCTCGGACTTCTTCCAGAGTTCCCTGTTCCATACTTCGATTACGTCTTCCACGACAGTAGCGATGGGCGGACGAACTTTCCCTCTCGACTTCGACCTCGTCCCGGTGAGGGGTTCTTCACTCAAATGACCCAGATGGGTCGCATGAATTTCACCTGTACACCAGAAAAAATATAACACATTTTTTTCTCCGTAAAAAGACGAAATTACCCTTAATGAATCACGATATTTATCCGTTCGAAAACAATTTCGTTATTACGACTTCGTAATTAATTCTAAATATAGTTACAAAAAGGTGGCAAAAAAAATCATACCTCTTATTTTAGTTGTATATCAGTTATATGTTAGTCGCAAAAAGGTCGTAAAAAATAAAACGAAAAGGGTATTTTGGACTTTTTCACCCGAAAAGTGGGTTAAAATTGAAAAAAAAAATTTTTTTTTTTGGAAGTGGTGTACCCTGAAATTGGTGTGAAACAAGTAGGTTATTTGGGTAATTTTCCCCCCGGTGATAGACTTGGCGACGGAGAAACGCAGTCGTTTTGTTTTTTTTATTCGACGTTCAATTTTGTTTTTACTTATAATTTTGGGATTTATTTAGTTTTGTTTTTCTTGGTTTTTGAAAGACGACGACCATTAAAAAATTACTGTTTTACACGTTATAGATTTAATTCGTTTGTTAAGAACAGATCAAAAAATATATATTTCTAAAAAACATTAAGATAATGTTTTAACATTGTTGTCTTTTGATAAATTGATGAATCTTTTTTCCCCATGCAATTCGTCTCTTTTCCCTAAAACCACATTTTCAAAATATATTTTAAAAGCCGCCATTAACAGATAACAGTAATTGTGATTTGTAAAAGTTGTATACTATATATCACGAAACGATACTGCAAATAATAATAATAAAATAAAGAATCATAAAACGACCCGGAATCCATCACATACAGTAAAAATTGAAGGATACAGAGACAAATATTACATTAAAATACGCAGCCGTAGAATAGTAAATGAAATTCTTTGTGATGTTTGGTCAACCATTGCACGCATAAATGCACACGTGCTTAACTAAAAGTGGCACTAATAACAGTCCAAATCTAGCTATAGTATCATGTAATCACATAAAGATATAGGATGATAATTTTGAATACTATAAAATCAAAATTTTCAAAATTGACCACCCGTATTACATTAGTGTTCAATGCATCATCTTTTGGAGCCTCTACTCTATATAAAGAGCTCGCCCTTTTCATGCAGAGATATCCATCCATCCATCCATCCATCCAAGTTTATATCTTATAAAAAAAAATCCACATTTCTTATAATAAGATGGCGTTTGTGTATTGGGGTTTGCTTTTGTTGGCTGCGATTGTTGGCTCTTCAGCATCCGCTTCTGCGTCGGATGGACCCATATGTCCTCCGACCACGACTCTTGGTCGGTCGAGTTTTCCCCAAGGTTTCATGTTCGGTGCTGCTTCTGCTTCGTTCCAGGTACGATTAATAAAACAAGGGTTGTATACAATCGCACATATATATGTATATATATGATATATCATATATGACAAATGGTAAATGGAATTTGAATGTTTCAGTATGAAGGTGCCGTTGAAGAAGGGTGCAGGGGTCCGAGTTTGTGGGATTATTACACTCTTAAACATCCAGGTTAATCTCTAATCACCGCGCTAATCAGTGCTCAATAAATTCATTTTATTTTATATACAAAGAGAATGAGTTTAATTAACGAGGTCGAGGATGTTTGCATGCAGAGAGAACAAACTACGATAACGCAGTCGAAGCGGTCGATTTCTACCATCGTTACAAGGTATTATATATATATTTATTTACATTCGTAACTAATTAAACAATGAGGTTACTATTATAATTATACGATGTGTTTAGAATTCTCTTCATGATATGCCGCAGGAAGATATTCAGTTGCTGAAAAAAATGAACATGGAAGCTTTTAGATTCTCTTTCTCGTGGCCCAGAATATTCCCTCGTGAGTATCTGCATGAAAAAAAAAACATGGATTCTGTTTTTTTTAACCATGCACGTACTCATGATTTTCTTAAACGTTCTAAAAAAATAATCAGATGGAAGAAAGGACAAGGGAGTTAGCAAAGTCGGCATCAAATTTTACCACGATCTCATAGACGAGCTCCTTGCCAATGGTGACGTCTGTAGTCTTATACATATACATATGCATATATATATATATATATGTATGTGTATTTATGTGTAATTAATGATATAAACTTGCTAATACAAAGCACAAAACATCCAGGAATAACACCTCTAGCGACTGTCTTCCATTGGGATATCCCTCAAGATTTGGAGGATGAATATGGCGGATTTCTAAGTGAACGCATTGTGTAAGTTTTCAATCGTAATTCATACCAAATGCATCTCATGCGTGCATTAAATCCGTATATACGTATATATACATTTCGATCGACAGGAAGGATTTCGTAGAGTTTGCAAACTTCACGTTCAACGAGTACGGCCACAAAGTGAAATACTGGATAACATTCAACGAGCCATGGGTGTTCAGCCGAGCCGGTTACGATATAGGGAAGAAAGCTCCGGGACGATGCTCCGAATACGTCAATCAGACGTGCCTCGGAGGAAACTCGGGTTACGAGCCTTACCTGGTTAGCCACAACCTACTCGTGGCTCATGCAGAGGCCGTGCAAGAATTCAGAAATTGCAAAAGGGTATAATTAAGCTAACAGTATATATATCCATATATATAAACGTGTATATATATATACTCGATATGTGCTGATCGACTTGTTGTATCGGATGGGTATGTGTATATATGTATGTATAGTGCGAAGGTGGGAAGATTGGGATTGCGCATAGTCCGGCATGGTTCGAACCTCATGATCTGGAGACAAGTCCACATGCCAATGCTTCAGTTGAAAGAGCTCTCGAGTTCATGTTGGGATGGTACGTACCTCCACCAATTTCTTATGGAATATATCAACAAAGCCATTTACCTCATATATATATATATATATACACACACACACTATATGGGTTGAATGTGATTATGTGGACAGGCATATAAACCCTACAACGTACGGAGATTATCCGCAAATCATGAAGGATCAAGTGGGAGATCGATTGCCCAAATTCACGGAAGAGCAGAAACAGAAACTGAAAACCTCGACAGATTTCGTGGGGCTGAATTATTACACGTCGTATTTTGCAGCCTATAAGGGAGCGGTCGACCCAACAAAGCCAAGTTGGGAGTCTGATTCTCTTGTAAAATGGGAACGTAAGCTTCAGTTCTTTGTGTTCTCCTATAAACAAAGTATATACCAACACATAATTCATTTAATCTCTTTTATATTTTCTATTTTCATTTAATTTATCGTCTATTTTTCAGCCAAGAATGTGGAAGGGTTCAACGTTGGTAGCAAGGTACTTAAACAACCGACCCAAAAACATGTTATGTCTCTTTTTAATAATTAACTAATATTTTGTTACGTTTATTTTTTTGTGTATAATAATGTATTTCAGCCTTCAACAGCAACACTTGCGGTCTATGCCAATGGGTTAAGAGAGCTTTTGAAATACATCAAAGAAAGATACGGTGATCCGGAGGTTATCATCGCAGAAAATGGTTAGAGACTAAGTATAGTTCATATATTATATATTCTTTATACAATATAGATGCATGCAACTACTTAAGAGAAAAATTTATATATTTGGACCGATCATTATCGTTAGGATACGGAGAGAATTTGGGAGAAAACGACAAACTACCGAATGCGCTCGCCGACTACAACAGGAAATATTATTATCAGAGGCATCTCTTAAGCCTACACGAAGCCATTTGGTGAGTAAATTTAGACTTTAGAGTATACTTTTATACGTGTATATATATATATATGTATGTACGTATATACTCTAAAGGGTGTACGATATATGATGAGTTTGCATGGATGGAATGCAGTGAGGATAAGGTGAGAGTGACGGGGTATTACGCGTGGTCGTTGTTAGACAACTTCGAGTGGCAAGACGGATACGCGACAAGGTTCGGACTTTACTACGTCGACTACAGAAACAACCTGACCCGTCACCGGAAAGAATCCGCCAAATGGTTCACGGAATTCTTGCTGCAGGAGAAACGCGACGAGCTGTAGAGAGGAAATCAAATATGGATAATAAGATTCTTTCTTTCTTCTTTTTGTGTTTGTATTGCAAGATTGTTGAATTCTTTATTTATTTCCTTTTCTATTTTCAATAAAGATGTACTTTTTTTTTCTATATCTTTAACATTCGTCTTCGGATTTATTTTGATATTTTTTCAAACGTGGATGGGCGAGTCGGGTTCAAACTCGTTCCGAGTTCAGTTACATCCAACTCGGAAAAATCCTGTACCGAATTACAAAATTTAAATCAAATTCGATTTCAGTTCATCTGAGAATCCGATGGGAAGTGAAGTTGACGTGCGGCTCATTGATTGCCCAAAACTTAGTTTGCAAGAAAATGTTCAGACACGTTATAACTGACAAGACAAAAAAGAAATTAAAAAACAGAGAACCGACCTATAGCGAGAGAGAACTTTCATGACTCATAAACAATCTTCCTTGCTAAGTATCGGATCAAGAAATATCAAGATCGATAAGATAATATTTGATCTCAGCCTACATTAAATACTCGACACGATCGTCTCGTGGAGAGGACAGAAACCCGGAATTTGAAAGAGAGAACGGACGAAAAAAAATGTTGAAAAAGATCTTCTTTTTGGGTTCGGTTCTGGTTCTGGTTCTTGCCGTCGTAGCTGCCGCCGGAGAACCGGTGTGCCCGGAGTCGGACAGTCTCGGACGGGGAAGCTTCCCCGATGGTTTCATGTTCGGTGCTGCGATTTCTGCTTTTCAGGTGCTTACTCTCTTTTCATCTTCTCGAATTTTCCACTTTTTGTGGATAAAGTCTAAATCTTTTGAACCGACGTTGACCAGATTTTTCCGGCGACTTTTGGTCGCCGGATCTACTCGCCGATCATCCCGCTTCTCGTAGATTTGTCGCATCTGTAATCTGTATATGTCGTCTGCCATGCCCACCTGATGTTCGATGTTTGCTCTCTTCACTGTTTCTCTGTAACAAAGTTTCGTAGATGCGAGGAAGAAATTAAAATTCCAAAACCCAGTTTAGGAAGTCCACTCGCAGGTCTTTCCTGGTCTAGATTCTTGATTATGACATAACTATGAGTGAAATCACGAGTTGGGGGGGCTTAAAACAGGGAAATTTGAAATTATTTTCTGAATTCAGAACAATAATCCTTTATCAGGGGATTAGCAGGACGAATGAACTTTTTTCTTGGGGGCTGGCTTAAAAGGGAAAATTGATTGCTCTGAATCCCCGATTAGGACATAAGGAAGCATGCTATTATCTTGACCAAACCCTGAAAGGATCAGTATTTTTGTCCTCAAGCAAATTCTTGAGATGGATGGCTGAATCTTTTGTAATAGGAGGGACCTTCTATTGAGGGTTTGAAGGATGCTTGGGATTTGTATATTTGTATGTGCTTATGAACACTTCTACAAGACTTTGGTTGTGAAATGATGCATTTCTTGTTCAATAAACAAAAAAAAAAGGTTAAAGAAACTGTTCCCTAATGTGTTTTTTGGTTGTCTGAACAGCATGAAGGTGCTCCTGAAGAAGGCGGCAGAGGTCCAAGCATATGGGATTCATTTGTGCTTAAACATCCAGGTGTGCTCCTCTATCCACTCTGAGATATTATATGCTTAATGCGTGCCTTTTATATAACGAAAATCGTATATGTTCACCTTGTGGTGTGCTTCTCCCAACCGAATCTCGATTGCTAAAAAAAACATGTGAATGTTCAGATTGTGTGTATGAATTATTTTCACAGGCTGACCGATGATAATTTGATCATTGTCCACTGCATTCTCTGCAACTTGAAATATCCAACCAATGTGGATCATTGCATATGGGTTCAGGCCTTGTTGTTTTCCATTTTGTTGGTGCTTTTCTATCTTATTATTCGGTTAATTTCGTGAGCGATAAAGGAGAATTTTAGCCATATGAAACTAACGGATTAAACCGAGAATCGTCCTTGATGGTTTGATGTTGAGTCTACCACACATCCATTGTGATTTCAGGCGTATTCTTTATACTTTTGATGATGTGTGATAGACGGCATGACCTACCTGCCTGCACTGGTAATTTTAATTTGCTCTGCAGAAAGATACAATAACCCTGACGGCAAGGCCCGGGACGGCAGGCTGGGAGTTGATTTCTACCATCACTATAAGGTATGAAGTTAATAATATACGTTGTCGGGCTATCAACTTGTCGAATTCAAAATAATCGTTAACAAAAAAAATTATAAACGGATTTCGTTTGATCAAGTTATTAATGTGTTGCAGGAAGATATTCAGTTATTGAAAAAGTTAAACATGGATGCCTTGAGGTTTTCCATCTCCTGGCCGAGAATATTTCCTCGTAAGACTTAGCAAAACATTCCTTCGGTTGATTATTCTTTCACATATGAAAAATGGGCTTACCAGTTTGTCTTGATTTATCTGACATAATCAGATGGGAGAAAAGACAAGGGAGTGAATGAAGCAGGAGTCAAATTTTACAACGACCTAATCAACGAGCTCATAGCAAATGGTTTATACCAAATCTCATTATCAACTCGCATCGGTTTTGTGTTTCCATGCTCTTTACTCGGTTAATTAACGTTCTTGATTGCATTGAGCAGGAATAACACCTTTTGTGACCCTTTTCCATTGGGATGTCCCCCAGGGCCTTGAAGATGAATACAACGGTTTTTTGAGTAGCCGCATAGTGTAAGTTCTTTTTTCTGCTTTCTATATATACGGTGATCGTTTTTTTTTGTATGGATACTTAAATATGGTTAAAATATCGTGTATAGGGAGGATTTCCGGGAGTTTGCAAAGTTTGCTTTCGATGAATATGGTGATAGAGTGAAGCATTGGGTCACTATAAACGAGCCTTATGAGTTCAGTCGTGGTGGCTATGACACGGGAGAAAAGGCTCCGGGACGATGTTCCAAATACGTCAACGAGAAATGCCATGACGGGCAATCTGGACATGAGGTTTACACTGTTAGTCACAATCTCCTCTTGGCTCATTCCGAAGCTGTGGAAGAATTCAGGAAATGTGAAAAGGTAACATACGGAACCTTATGCATTTGCAATGACATTTCCTAATGATCTCATTCTTAACCCAACTTATAATTCTGTCTATTGTTTCGGTCCATTTATCATTGATAAGTTGATAACCACTGCAGTGCAAAGGTGGCAAGATTGGCATTGTGCAAAGTCCCATGTGGTTTGAACCTTACGATCCGAAATCCACTTCACCTCCTCCGCAGGAAATAGTTAAGTCAGCCCTTGATTTCACCTTAGGCTGGTGAGCAAATTATTATTATTATTCTTATGTCTCTCTTTATGATTAAACAAAATTACCGATATAAATGAGTTTGGATCGGTTTATATGAAGGCATATGTCCCCTATAACCCACGGAGATTACCCACAGAAGATGAAGGACAATGTCGGGGAAAGACTGCCATCATTCACGCCTGAGCAAAAGCAGAAACTCAAGAATTCTTACGATTTTATCGGTATCAATTACTACAGTTCTGCATTTGTTGCTCATGTAGCCGATGTGGATCCACAGAAACCGACATGGGAGGCCGATTCTCGTGTTCAATGGCATTGTACGTATTCTAACCGCAGAATGAATAGTAAATTTTTTTTAACGAACTATTCTCATTCTGCATTTTTTTTTGTATTACCTGCAGTGACAAACATCGATGGGTACAAGATTGGTACACAGGTATATATGTATGGGTATATGCATGTACGTATTGTTTTGTAAAATTTTCATGTCCGTACTGATTGGAATGTCTTCTGTAACGTTTCAGCCTCCGACAGCCAAATTTCCAGTTTCTGCGGATGGTCTGAAAAAGATCTTGAATCACATCAAAGACATCTATGGCGACCCAGAAATCATCATAACCGGAAACGGTAAAAGTTTTTAATGGGTTTATGAACATTGATGTTGAAGAAATCCAAGAAACCACTTGCTTGCTGATTCATATACAATCTCAAAACCATATCGGATTTAGACACAGATTAAATCTTTTCCATCTTCTGCATTGATATGATCCAGGATACAAGGAGATGCTTGGAGACAAGGATGGACTTATCCCGGATGCGACCAGTGATCACAACAGAAAATACTGTCATATGAGACATCTTATGAATCTGCATGGAGCTGTCTGGTGAGTTTCTTTTTTGGTGATTCCATATCTTTCTCAGACACCATCTCAATTTCTATCTGTTGCATTGTCTGAGAATCGATTAAACCTCGACTTTTTGCCAGCCAAGACAAGATGAACGTGAAAGGGTATTTCGTGTGGTCGCTTATGGACGGATTTGAGTGGGAAGACGGGTTCGGGACGAGGTCTGGACTGTACTACATAGACTACGGAAGCGACAACTTGACGAGGCATGAGAAGGCGTCGGCGAAATGGCTCTCGAAACTTCTGGAGAAAGACCCGAATTCGATCCGTTCGAAGGGAGCTTCTGATGCCAAGAAGGAGCTATAAATGAAGGCTAAATGAAAATAATCCCCTCAGAGAGTCGATGTTATAATACGATACTGTAATTATATGTTTGGTCTTTAACGTGAAACGCATGCAAGCCGTGGAGTTATGTTATATATATATATATATATATGTTGGAGTTAATAAAAATATCTTTCTCACTGCTTTTTATTAACACATAAAACTCCAAAACAGAACAAGTTTCTTGATTTTTCTTGAACTGCTCTTTCTTGGAGTCGTGTCAACCACTGAGTTACAGTTAGGTTTTTCTTGGATCTTTGATTCATCCTCTTCTTTAATCTTCTCTGATTTATCCGCCTCTCCTGTCAATCTCTTCCTCTCAAGAAACTTGATCAGATTCTCCAACGCGAAATCGGCGTCCTCGCTCTTCATCAGCTCCTCCGCGATCTGGGCAGGAGTCACTTTCGCTCCTTCGATCGTACCTTGGATCCTGTCGTAGAGACAGTGACCGTTGTCGCTGCAGGGAAGTCCCAGGTAGTTCGAGGCTAAGGTCTTGAACCCTTGGAACGTGCAATGGCCCATGTAAATGTGCATGTCCATCCTCCCTGGTCGCAGCAATGCCGGGTCGAGCTTTTCCTTGTGGTTGGTCGTGAATATTATTATCCGTTCGTCTCCACAGCTCGACCATAGCCCGTCTATGAAATTTAGCAGCCCTGATAACGTCAATTGTCCCTACATACGTACATATACACACAGAGGTTGGAGAAAATGCATCAAGAAAGTTAGGTTTTTTCATCATTTCCATTCAGGGTTCAGGACCGACCGACCTGAACATCCACCCGGCTACTCCCCTCTTTGGAATGAACCCTGTTGGGAAGATCCACTGCACAATCTATGTCTTCAACGACGAGGATGGACCGGTTATGGGTCCCGAGAAGCAGTCTCCTGAGGTCGGAGTCACGCATAACGCCGGCTAGTTGCAGATCGTAGACATCAAACTTGAGATGATTAGCCATTGCAGCAACCAGACTGGACTTCCCAGTTCCAGGTGGTCCGTACAGCAGGTAACCTCTCTTCCAAGCTTTTCCGACCCTTTTGTAGAACTCTCTTCTCTTTATAAACCGATCAAGATCGTCGATCACGGTCCTTTTCAGCTCGTCGTCCATGGCCATGGTGTCGAACGTGGACGGGTGTTCGAGGTTCACGCATTCCCATCTGAGGGAATTGAGAGTGTACATCTTGAGAATCCGTCTTCCGTCTTCGATCTCCTTGGCCTTGCTTAGGACATGCTGGACGTAAGAGTTCAAGACAAAGTCCTTGTGTTTCTTGTCGAAGCTCAACTCAAAATACTCCTTGATGCTGTCTTCGTTGTCGGCTTTCTTGTCGCCGCCATTGGTGACGAACCTCCATTTCAGCTCGATCCCTTGGTAGAGATCTGTGACGATCTCGCCGTTGCTTAGAAACACGTTGATGTGTTTATCCTTGGGCCCTTTGGCTATCCTAAGCGTGGAGGCATCAGGGCTTATCTTGGTCGAGAGATAAGTCTCGGCAGCGTCGTAGATCTCGTTGTTCATCCCCCAGGCGTCGCAGTCGATGGTCAGAGTAAGGATCGATGACTGAGAACGGAGGAGAGAGCGGAGGGTGGAGACGACGAAATCTTGGACAGGACGAGGGATCATGTCGAAGAACATGGATCGAATCAGCATAATGTAACCCGCCAGTGATGCGTAGGTGGTGAAGATCGAGGAAGGAGAAGGAAGATCTCTGAATAAAGACGACATGGCTTTTTTTCTCTCTTTTTGTGTTTAGAGTGTGCGACCAGAGGTTTATATATATATATGTTGTGTGATATGATATGATACTTATTAGAAGCGAAAGCTTCGCCTCTAAGACTGTAATGTAGCGTTCATGATCACGTCTTTGACCAATGAATGTGGAAAATTGGGGAAAAGGTTGAAACTTTAACAAAATTTCATGCAAGTTTCCCCGAAAGTTTCAATCTTTTCTGGTTTTGGATCTACGCGAATGGGTCATATCTTATAATAGTTGATGCTTGACCCACGAAGACCAATGTGCGGTCATCCTTTCTTTAATGTGTGGTCCACTTCCTTACCAAACGACAAAAGATTTCGAGTGTCGCACTTCGCTTTTGCGCATTTTATAAAAGTTTTCATGTGATGAGTTTTTGTCGGATTCGGACTTGGGCCGCATCCGGTCGAGCGTCACGTCAGCATCCTCAGTGTCCACTCTTCTTCCATGTCCGAGAAAAAGAAAAAGAAAGAGGAAAATATCTGCATGTTGATTTATGCAACCAGAATCAGAGTTGCCAAATATTGGAGACATAATTGGAAAAAAAAAACATCAAGAAACAAGATCAGGCAAAGAACAACATGATAAACGAAGATCTTCTCTAAAGCCTATAAGTTATAAGAACGACGAGAAAATTTGCTCAGAATCCTTGTCTCTCTTAGCCAAGAGGGACTTCTTAAAGAAAAAAATGGTACATTTCACGGTTTTTTTTCAACAATTATGATCCATAAATCATAGTTTCAATAGATAAAGTAGAGAAAAGGGTCTATGGAGCCTCAACAGAGAGATGAAATCTCAGCCAAGAAACCGAAGAATTGCATCACCTGACCTTTTACCAATCACCAAATTATTACCAGACAGTATTTTCTTGGGAACCAATCAGAGGGATGAATCAGAACTGGAACTGCATCTCAGGAGAGTAGCCGAGAGCCTCCAGATGAGCAGCCATGGCCTTGTTCATCGGCGGGGGCCCACACCTCAGGATCTGCAAGGCAGCAAAGATGCCGGATCCAGACAAAGAAGAAAGTGTTTTGGTTTACGCCTTTGATACATTCAAAGGAAATGGAGTTTGTATCTGAGTTCGAGTTTATGGGGAGAAGAGTTGCTAGTAGAGGGTACCTGAATATCAGCTGCAGGTTGCGGGCAATGAGCCTCAATCATTTCCTTCGATACAAACCCCACACCTCCATCCCATATTTCCGGAGGCTGTGTCAAATAATCGAAAACATTAGGGAAAAATATCGATTCTTTGATAATATCAAAGAGTTATACAACAAAAGAAAAGCATACAGTTGTATCTTTGAAACTCAAACATAACTCCAACGATTTGACGAACTCAAACACGAGTTCTTTCAAACAATGGATTTGACAACTAACCTGGTTCAGAACATAGTAGACTTTGAACTGATCCGGGTAATTGGAGGCAAGACCATCCAATTCGTCCTGAAAAATTAAGACTTGAGTATCAGCATAGGAGAATACTCTGCAATAACAGATCTCGGTCCATGGAAGGAATTTGGTGGCACCCGTCAAACAAAAGTGACGGTGTTCCTGACAGAATCTACGAATGAATGATTACCTTTAAGAGAATGTCTTCGTAAGTTACATTGGCATAAATAAGGTGCACCTTAGTCTTGTCACTTGGATTCTCCAAAATTGCTCTTGCGACCTGAAATCACAAATGTGAAATGGAATGTTCAGTAAATACATATACATTGCGAAATCGTTGGCCCAAAAAAGAGGCTTTCATGAGAAGGGGCATACTTGGAACATCGGAGTGATGCCAGATCCCCCAGCAAGCATTCCAAATGCCCTAACCTGACCAGGTTGATATTTAAACCTGCCCTGACAACGAAAACCCGGAAAGTTGAGACTCAAGAACAGCAGAATATATTGCATCACGTTCAAATCCAGTTTCAGTGTACTACTTATAAGCAGATGAGAAAAACTTATCGAAATGATGTTTTTAGACAAAACGATCTGCTCTCACGTCGAAGATGGGATCAAGTAGGAAACTGATACTCTGAATCAACCAACATTTATTTTGGAAATCGTATGGAACAAACTTAATTGTTTCATGGATTAGCAGAACAAATTTTGATAGTTGAAGTACCTTGGGTCCCTTCACGGAAAGACAGTCTCCAACACGCATCTCCCGGAAATGATGAGACATCCTTCCTTGTGGATACATCTACTCAACGGGTAATTTTTAATCAGAAAATCAGTTTGTTAGGTTACGAGAAAGAATCTGAATCCTAACTACAATAAAACAAAGACAACCTAGGAATTTCGTAATAGAAATCGTATACCTTGATGACAAGTTCGAATCTCCCAACATCAGTATCTAGTGTTGTTGGAGTGTATGCCTTGATAACATCTTCTCCTTGTGCATCCTTCCCCCTTTTTATAAGCATATCAGAATGTTCATTGGACCAATTAAAAAAAAAAAAGAACAGAACACAATGAAGGACAAACCTGCAACTGAGGTGCTGTCCAATAGGAAGGCCCAACACAGAAGTCGGAGTCGGAAGCTCAAATGTGAACTTGGCCACATTGTGGCTGAGTTGCACGCGCTTAACGAGTTTGAACTCCTTGAAATTCTCCGGATCCAGACATCCTGTGAACCCAATTTCATATTATTGACAAGAAGATATTCATTGCCGTTCATTCATAGCCACAATTCTTATCAACCAAATCCAACAGTTCTATCACAAACAACTCGAGCGGAACCCTCCAAAAACAAATTATCAAGCACTGCAAAAGAACTCTGCAATAACCTTCACTTGCATTTGACAATCTCTACGAGTAAAATACAAATTGGTTGATGACCACCCTATTTACAACTCCATTTCGAATCATCAAAGTTTCCAACTTTCGTGAACATTCATGATTGAAATCAGTCTCCCCCAACACTATTAGTTAGTTCCAGAAATCTATATGCATCCATCTACTTAAAACGAAACGACAGCGAGAATCCAGTAAGCCATCCCAAATGAAACTTTTACGCGAGAAAAAAAAACAAATAGAGAGAAGGGAGAAAAACCTAAAACTTGATTGAAAACAATGGAAAAGAAGGGGGAAAAAAAGGATAGAACCTCGGCGCTTATTGGTGGATGAGAGATAGTAGGCGACGCCAGTGCCGGCGGCGACGATAGCGACAACGACACCGACGAGAACCTGTCGATCTAGGGTTCGGAAGAACTCGGGATCCATGGCTTTTGCGATTCACCCGGATAAGAAGAAATGAAAATCGACAAGTTGTGACAAAAAATCCAATCTTGAGAGAAGGGTTGGTCTCAAAAATAGGTTTTTTTCAAGTAGTGTTGTCTCCGTGCCTTGTCGTCTCCGCCAGAGAGCAGGAAGGAGATCTGGTGAACCAACCACCAACCAACGTTCGTGCACCATCGCATTCATATTTTCAACGATTAAATAAATACATAAATTAGACATTACTTTGTTTATTTTTAATCTAAATTGAAATCAGATAACTGGTTAGACAAGCTCCATATATTATACACAACACACATTCAAATAAGCATGATAGCAAAATTCAATTTAATTTCCACAGAAATGATAGCATATATTATTTAACCACCTTACTTTTAGTTTAGTTTAATCATATTTTAGTTAGTTTAGTTTTAATCATACTAGATGAAGACCCGCGCGATGCGCGGATTATTCTTAATTATTTCGATTAATATCAGGAAATCTAGATGGAAGATCATTATACACCTTAAACACAAACCATAAAAAAATAACCAAAATTATTAATTTAACTAATGAGTATTTTAATAATTAATAAAATATTTAAAAATTATCATATAGATGATAAGTTGGATGTTTATATGTGTTTGCAGTGGCTTGACATGTCTACGAATGAAATAGTCGATGATCAACATTATTATTAAAATTCGGTCCAATTAAAAAACCTTATTATTTATATATTGGATCGTAAATTATAGAGATGAGTCCAAAATTTAATGTTACCAAAAAGGATTACGAAATGGTACAAAATTTAATATTGTAATTTGCAAATCCCTTGATGATTTAAATTCATTCCCTCCATAAAATGTGATGGTACTATGAAATTCAACACCACGTAGAAATATATATTTTGAGAAATACATAACACAGTATCCATAAACAGAAAGAAACATCAGGTGATTTATCTTCCTCGCTACTTATTTTGAGTTTATATAACCAAACTTCAAAGGCACACACACACACACATATATATATATATATAGCTTAAGTTTTTTTTTATGTATCATAGAATGCTCATGGCCGAATAAGCTCCACCTATGCAGAGGCAAGTTTGGCCATAGAGTTTCATGGTCTTTAAAAGAAACGATCAGCTAAGTCTAGAAAAATGACATATTTTCATCATTTTACCAAATGTGTGGCTAAATAATAGATCTAACATTTGCCAAAGAAATGATCAATTAAAATAAAATAATGAATACTCTCAGTATAGTGGAAATGAAATTGTGTGATTCGCTGTTTATTTGCTGAATATATCTAATATAAACTTTTTTAAATATGTTTTTTTTTGTAAAAACTTATTTATGTGTAAAAAGTAATACTAATTTAATTGAATGTTCATATATTAAATGAAACTTTTTGTAAACCAATCAAAATTTAAAACACATCCATGTAGGATGATTACAACTCGATTTGAGAAGAAAGGGTAAGAGGTGGTATGCTTGTCGCGAGGCATGTACCGGCGCACCGCTATAATCTCCGAGTCCATGTACGTGTGCATCCATCCATAGCTTATATAATGACAAAAAAAATATGGAGAAAAAGAGAGGCATTTATTTATAGTATGATGTGAAGAATACGCACATTCTGTATTGGTAGGCAAAGTAGGTAGCGAGAACAACAACAGCAAGTATTTTTTTTTCAACAAAAAAAAACAGTAATATCCAAATGAAACCCCATCTCACATCCGCTTTTGCATCTTTACCTATTTAATATTATAAATATGTGAATAACGGGAGGATATATATATATATATATATATATATTTAATACTATAAATAAACATATTTAAACAGAGGTATTATTGTTCTCTACTGTAAAGCATGGTGGAACTGTTAGAGCTGCACTCATAGTTTTCCATGTGTTCGACATCCTTCACATTGACATGCCACCTTCTCTTCGTACTCAGAGAGGAACAACTTGTGAAATCCAAAATAATTGGAAAAGATTTTCGCAAGAGAAAGCCATAGAGAGTCCTCCCTCATTCCAGCCAACATTTTTTTACCGTCCAACTTCCGCGGCTGATGCTAATGCTCTAAGCCTCCAATCCAAACCTCTGCCTCAACCTTCCCCTTGCATATCTGCGAAGGATGAAACTGCTATGCTTGGTTGTCATAGTATTCTCCAGAAACATGATCAGTATCATCACTAACCAAGTTAAGGGACTGCTTTTCGGGGCGTAGATGACGATGGAAAGGACTTATCGTAAAATATGAAAAAGATCTATTGAATAGAGAAAACAACATTTTAAGAACACGAATCCCATATGAAAAAGACAATGCTCAGACACCAACAACAGGCATGTAAAAAAAAGGCTAAAGCTGAAAAAATCTCACATTGAATAGGCTAAACAGATAGAACTTCGGCTTTCATTTCGTACCATATTTCAAAAGTTGGGTACCCTTCTTCGATACTCAACCAATCCTGTCAAATATAGACGAATGATAACACTGAACAGACAATGCCATTTATTCTAATATTAATTGTCAGCAGTAGTGGATTAGTGGGAATACTTACGTTTTTTTTCATTAGTAGGTTATTAAATATTTTTTTAACCATCCTGTTGTAGTTTTATTTATTTAATTTTTAATTATAGTAGTTTAAGTTGCAAGCGTAATGATGATCACCTCATTTTATGTAATATTTTATTTTTTAATTTTAGTTATCATAAAATCATAAAGATATCAAATAAATTTTAAATATATGTATAATCAAATAAATATCTCATTAATATATAAAACTAAGATCAAAATAGATTTTTAATATAATAAAATTGAATCCTTTTTCAATTAAATAATATATTCACATTACTCATTTTTTGTATTATATATCACAATTTTTTTATGTATAAAAGTTAATGATAATCTAATCAAAATATATAGTTAACAAAATTTTAAATGACTAATAAAAATTTAAACTATGCCACATAGATAATGATGTGGATCCTACATGCCTTCACCACAATCATTTAAACCTTATTATTATATATATAGATATATATATGAACCAATCCTTTATTATATAAAAAGAGAGAATACTTTTGTTAAATAACAAATATAAATTAAAATAAATGTCACATATAATGAAAATGATTTTGTTAAAATATTTTTTATTTTATGTATTATAAATATTTAGTGGTTGTTTAATTTTTTTGTATAATATGTCTTTTATATTTTTAAAAAGTTATTATTTATGTCTAAAAATTAGTGATGATCCAATCAATTTATATGTAGTTAATGAATTTTTGAATGATAAATAAAAAATAAAAAACAAAATGCCATGTAGATAATGACATGGAGATGAGGTGTACTCACCAGAATCCTTTAAACTCAATTATTAATATATATAGATTTAATGACAAGCTCTAAATATTTTCAATTGCAACGGCCGAAATTGAACAGAGGTTTCTGTAGGTAGGCCACGTCAGCACTGGGAAGAGATCTCTTTAGAAGTTAAAAAAATACTTTTTTTTGTTATCCAGATAATAATAATTTAATAAAGCTCACTCAGAAAAGTGCTTGATCATGTGATACGGCCTCGCTACGAGGGACAAAAATCACGAGTCTCGGGTCACCGGAGAATCAGAGTCGGTGGCCGGAAAATTTCTCCGGTGCTGTTGAGATGCCAAACGCCGTTCCAACGGCGTTTTCCTCTTGCTGACAACAAACCTGTTCACTCCCTTCCTCATCGGCATTATCGAAGGGAAATCTTCGTCAGGAATCTGGCTCAGCTCCGATATGTTCTTGATGTCAGCCACTCGCCGGAACCATCTCTCGGTCTTGGCCTCCTCCGACATGTCTAACGGATCCGGTTCCTTCACTAACGAACCTTCCAAGCTCTTCCCGTTCCAGCTGCTTCTGGGTTTCGTGTCTTCAGTGGTTCCGACCACATTGTTGGAACTGTCTCCCTTCCTTGTTGCAGAAGGGGCAGGATTTAGGCTCGAGGGCTTTGACAGTTCCACCTGGGAAAAGTTTTCGTCATTATTGCCGGCCGTGGGAGCTGGGTTTTTACCAGAAGCTTCTGGAACGTGATTCACAGTCTCGGGTTGTTTCTGTTTGGCGAAATAACCAGGTGGAAACGGGACAAAGGGGACAAAGTTCGAGTCTTTTGCTTGTTCCATTGCCATCTTTCTCTTGTACGCTGGAGAAGTCAAGGAGCGGTCTTTCTTCCTGCTCACCACAAACCGATTCTCTCCTTTCCGCATCGGCATTATATCGGGAAAATCCTCGTCCGGGATTTTATCCAAATCAGAAACACCGTGCAATTCCGTGACCCTCTTGAACCACCTCGCAGATTTTTCCTCCTGCTCTTTCTCTTTCTCTCCTTGCGTCTCAAATTGATCAATTTGTTCGCCAGAGAGCTTTGAGCTCTCCACTTGACCAAAATTTTGATTGGTATCTAAGACACTGTCCACTTTCCTGCCAGATTGATCATTATCCAACAAATCCATCTGTGTTTTCTCAGTATCTAGCTTCTCAGGTTTCTTTGCAAACATGTCTGCAGGCAGTGGCACAAAGGGGACAAAGTCGGAATTACTCGCCCGAGAAGATCCAAACTGTCTGGAAGAAACATTCTTATCATCGGATCCAGAAGTAGCAGAGGATGAAGAGCCAAGGATCTCATCTAAGTTCCTGCTAGTTTTAGTTTCCAGAGTCTTGTTCTCACTTCCTGTCCCATAGCCACCTGTCTCAACTCTGTTCCCAGCGTCAGCTAACCTCCTCTCAAGGGGCGTCTTCCTCGTGCTTACAACAAATCTGTTTACTCCTTTCCTCAATGGCATGATCTCTGGAAAATCATCATCTGCTATAGCACTGCTTGCATCGGAAGCGCTTTCTAGCTGGGAAACTTTACTAAACCATCTACCCGCTTTCTCTTCATTTTCAGCCAATCTTCTCCCAAGTTCAGGATTGTTTGAATACCCAGAGTTGAATTCATTCAGCACAATACCACCGGGTCTCTTGCAGTCACATCTTAAGCAGACCGTATTCCTTCCATAATTGTAAAAGTCACATCTGATGGGAGAAAACCAAGGAAAGGGCTAAGTTATTTTCATCATTCGCCACATCTAGGCGAGGAACAGAACATAGTTAAACGGGTTGTGCTTACTGTGGACACTCCCATTCGCCACCAGTTAGCTGCCTCTTTGGTCTTGCTTCCTCACATTCAAGGCATTTGATGTTTCTTGCAAAGTTCAAGAAATTGCACCTGTTTGAACACGGTCAACCTGGTCATGTGCCACTAAATATTGAAATTTAGAACGAAAATTCTAAGCAATGTACCTTGGGCAGATCCAGTCACCTCGTTTCATCGTAATGTTTTGTTGCAAGGACCTTGGTGCTTGTTCATGTCTATCTCGGAACTGATTTTGTACCATCCCAGAGGCATCAAACTCGGGAGTACTGAAGCTCAGCTTCGTTATCTCCCTCAAAAGGCTCCAAACAGATAACTCAGTGACTCCTTGGTTATGGTTCTCAGAAGAAGCATAGTACCCAACATAACTCAAGAGATACCTCATCAAATCCACCATGGTTGCTTTATCCATATCTAGTGTCTAATGAAACAAAAGGGAAAACAAGATAAGGCATTTTAATTTGTTTGTTAATGCAAGAATGTGCCGAAGCTTGTACAAACAAAATAAATCAAACTCGAGAAATTTACGGTAATGAGTAAGGGGAGATAATAGCTACAGTAGGTCCTATTGTCAGTGAGCACTTCAAGAAAAGATATCATGAATCAGAACAGGCTCAAAATAACCTCATTTATGCGAGAGATTAAGTGTCGAAATTGGTTGTATCAAAGTATACTTTTTCCCTTCAAGAAACACAACATAACCACGAATCATGTTCTTATCCACATTCAAAAAAAGTTCTGACCTCCTTTTATCCCATTCTAAAACAGAGTTTATATGTGATAATCTGTTAATGCTAAGCGAGTTTGGAACTTCAGAGCACAAGCACTAAAACCTCGGCAGCATCATATCTCCAAAAATCAAGGTCCAAGCTTTTCTTTGCAAATCTCAAAACGAGATCAGAACTTACATTACCAGTGCCATGAGCGCCACTGTTGAGGTAATGCCTCATCTTCCTCACGGAGTCTTCGCCGTTCTTGAATAGAAATGGCGTAACATTCTCCACCACCACTTCGACATCTTTCCTCGAAACCATTCTAATAAACATCAACACCCACAAAATCATTTCAGAACGTAATCAAGGAGTAAAACACTCGAAACCCCAGAAACTATATACTCCCAAATCCAACAAATTCAGAGACTAATAAGTCCAAAATGCAACTTACGAAAGCAGGTTCGGTCGATCACGAGCCAGGGCTAAGCAAGCGCGAGCTGGACCGATGAGTTCATCCGGAAAACTAGGGGCGAATTCGTTTTCGTCTCCGGAGTTCCACGGGGAATCCGAAAAATACCCAGCCTCGGAGAGAACACGGAGGAACTCCGACCACTCGGGCCAAGGATGATAGTGGATAGATGCGGAACCAGAGGTGGAGAAACGGGGACAGTGATTATGGAATCGCCGGAGGGGAATGACTGTAGGGATAATCGGCGGAGAAGAACCCGACCCGGAGAAACCGAGAGGATGGTGGTCGCAGGAACCGTCGGAGGAAAGAGAGCAGCGACGACGGTGGAGACGGCGGACGGTGGTTAGGCTGCCGAAAAAGCGGCAGCGAAGGAGAGGAGAAGGATGAGATAAGAGGCACAGGAATCTGATGGAGCCGCTCATTTTCTCTCTCTCTAACGGCGGAGCTAAAACCTCAGGCGGTGGCCAGCAAATTTATCTCCGCAGCGGAGGACGGAGGAGAAGCGGCGGTTCTCTGTTGCATGAACATTAATGTCTTTGAAGGGATACGAAGATCCATATGGTCACACATCGGTTGGATGCTTTTGATTTTAAATTTCCAAAATTGTTTTCCTAAATTATCAAAATATAAAAAAAAGGATATTTTCATAACACTAATGGGCCTCTGTAAGCCCAATAGTCCCTTTTTAGACCAATGGGTCCTATTGAGGACTGGGCCCATAAATTTTGTAAAGAGCTTCAACACGCGTTTCTCACAGTCGCACACAGACGCATATAATATATATATATATATATATATATGGATTGATCACTGAAATAAAAAGGAAAAGTAGATATTATTTTTCTCTAGAAAGACACGTGAAGGTGACGTGCCACTGACCCTAGTGTCGTCCTCGAATTTTAGCATACTGTAAAATGGAAGTGGATTAGTTGTAAGTTAATTGTTGTCAACTTTTGACTAAATGAAATTAGTTATGTAAAAATTATTTATATTATATAGTTTTTGTCTGGAAATATTGCACTGTGATGCTGGATTATGCTTCCGGTGCATGCATATGGTCATGGACCAGTAACCGCCGCGATTACGACTGCTCCATGGTTATAATTTCTTTTTATATAAAGTTCGTTCATAAGACTATATCGTTAATTTTATTTCATGTGAGCTCATCTTGAGATAATATTATTTACTAGAGAATAATGTTCGTATATGTATTATTGACAACAAAGTAGAGTAAGAATAATCATGGTGACATATATGCATATTCAATTCATCACTAAATCCCCTATATATATTTTTTGAATAAACAACAGAATATATTTACTTTTATATTTTTGTAAACTTTCTAAATTAATATATTTTTTATTTGATTACTAATTTTATTATATGAAACTTAAAAAAACCCGAGATAACATACACACGAAAGACAAAATACTTTAACTATATATAGAGTTAAAAAAGGGTAATACAATAGAGAGTCTCTCGTACTATGGATGTAAATTAGGGACCTTTTTCCCGTGAGTTAGGGCTCAACAGTCTTTTAACTCGATGGAGAAATTTTATTGATTACCCCCCAATAATCATAATTAAATCATGTGCCATTTGCCCTCTCTCTCTTCACCCTTGTTTGTCTTACCTGACATATGTATGATTTGAATTCATAGATTTGTTTTTTATTAATATTATATATATATATATATATATATATATATAGCCATCACCGGTTATGATTTGTTGGTTTGAACCGGGACCGGAAATTCGTGGAGTTGTGACACGTGTTAGGCTACAAATACAGCTCTTCGCATGTAACAGTCAATGATCACGTCACCTAACGTCAGCTTCCAACTTCAAGAATAACGAAACCGTTTCCCATACTTTAAAATCATAAAATAAGAATAAATAATGAATCTTATGTGAATATAATATAACTCGCACGATCGTGGGACGATATACTAATTACCTTTACTAGTTGAGAAAACTTCTTAAAATAACAATTTGTCACTACTTATACTATTATCAAAATTAATAGTGAATATAATATGTATTATCAAATCCAGTAAATTTTATAGAAAAATGTGTTTTTTAAAAAATTGATATAAAATATTAAGATTCAAGGTTTAAACTTACAGTCTAACGATTCAAATTAGTCGATAGTAAATATAAGATGTATTTTATCTTTTTAATCTCTACCTTTATTAGAAAAAAAAAATTTATCTTATTATTATAATGGGTAGTCGTTTTCCTCTAGAAAAGAGCAAAAGCACTGTAACACATGTCCGAAGCAGACAAAATAAGATTTTGTTTTCCACTGTAACGCACGTACATTACATAACGTGTCAAAGTGTTTCGTCTCTCGTATAACCTTCCAACTGCACGAGCGGGTCTTGAAGTCCATGCACACGAAAGCAAAATACATACATACATACATACATGCATGCATACATACATGCATGCACACACACACACTTCCATGTCGCACCAAGTTCAGTGTGCACGTGCAGAGATAGATCATTATTGCGCACGTAATACCCTTTGGCTCTGCTTTTATTGCACGCATTAATTTCACATTTACAGTAAGTATATAATGATTTATTGAGGCAACTTTGAAAAAGGAATTTGGATTGAAGATTTACAATTATTGGCATCCCAAAAAACCTTGATTTGCTTCTATATCATGCATATTTACCAATGGCTAATTTTTTTTATTTTGTTTCAATTTAACTTTCAACAGTTTCAGTTGTATATTTTAATTGAAAGAGCAGGAGGAAAATATATTTTTTTTTCAAGTTTTTCAAACGCAAAGAACATAAAACTTTGTATTTAAAAAAAAATATATTTTTCCTTGAAAACAAAAAGTTAAAATTAAACATCCCAAAGTGACGTTTTACCCAACAGAAAATTGACTGCAGCATTCGGCTCGTGTGATTTGACCATTCCCTCACAATGTTATTTTGAAATTTCTCAATATGGTATTCTTTATATTTTTTTTTATCATCCAGGTTTAACATTTAATTTATATTTTAAAAGTGATCATTCAATAACATATAATAAAATTCTTTCATAAAAAAACATATAATAAAATTCAAAAAAAAACTATTTCTATTGATGAGTACCATTCTATTCATATCCCGATACATGTTATACATAACTCGATCAAACCTTTTTTTTTATACGAACCAAACATTTAATTAATAAACTAAGTAATTTACATATCTAACTGTAGTAAAATTTTGATACCATTTAAAATTACAGATATATATATATATATATCTCCCTTCTTCCACCATATATAGTGAGAGACCTCTTTCGTTTGATGACCTTCATTTGTATTCTCTCTCTAGTCCCCCCCCCCCTCTCTCTCTCAACAGTTCGTGGTTTTCTTTAATCCTTCTTTCAGGACAAAAAAAATGAACCTAAAGTCCCATGAAAAAGATCTGAGCAGTAGCATCGATGGCGGATCGACAAGGTTTGAGGAACAAAACTTCATAACCCCGACATCTGGTCCATCGTCATCAAATTCTCTCACCGAGCTCTCTCTCTCTAGAAATTTTCTCCAACACCCGGCCGATGAACCAAACAAGAACAAAGTCTCAGCCTTTGAGATTAATAGTGATGAATCACAAGACGAGGGCAGGAGAGAGAAGAAAGGCAGAAACGCAACACAGAGAAAAGTTTGTGCGAGAGGACATTGGAGACCGTCCGAAGACGCCAAGCTCAAGGAGCTTGTTTCCCAGTTCGGTCCCCAGAACTGGAACTCTATTGCTCAACACCTTGTCGGCAGATCAGGTGTATATATATTTATCCCTTTTTTATTTTTCTATTTTTTTTCTTTTATTGATCAGAAGTTCATATCGATTTTTTTTTAAAACTCATAATGTAATTAAAATGGTAAAAACAATTGATTTGAAGTGATTCGAACTCAGAATCTTCCTATTTTCGAAGAGCTCCTATATAACAATTCTACATGAATTTTTCTATAGTATTTTGTAATATTACGCGGAAATGCGTATATTATATAGGTAGGAAGACGGTATTCACCGTCTGTTTTGTCATAGTCGGTCATTCTTGATATGCAAAATAAATACTATAGATTATAGATTTGCATGAAATTCTGTTATGGACCCCAAACATCCAAACATTAAAAAAATTGCATACTTATTAATAATCGTACAACTTCCAACGATGGAAACAGGCAAAAGCTGTAGACTGAGATGGTTCAACCAACTAGATCCGAGAATAAACAAGAGGGCTTTCACAGAAGAAGAGGAAGAGAAGCTCATGTGGGCTCATGGAGCGTTCGGGAACAAGTGGGCGACGATCGCAAGGCTCTTCCCCGGTCGGACCGACAATGCCGTCAAGAACCACTGGCACGTCATCGTGGCCCGTAAGCTCCGGTCCTCCTCGGAAAACCCTGAAACGACGGTTTTGCCCTCGACGGGTGGCGGCGGGGATGGGGTCACGAGGGGTAGTTTGGTAAATGGAGAGGGTACTGAATCAATGGCACTGAGCACAAGCAACGACAACGAGTCTGCGGCCTCTACTTGTACGGCCACCGATCTATCTCTTTCGCCTCCCCGTTTGTGGTTTTCCGAGAATGTCCTCGATCCAGGTACCAGTCATCAGCCCCTTTCATTTTCTTTTTCCGTGGCAAATCAAAGATTTGAACTTTTGAATACCACCAAGAGAAAAAGATTCTCTTTGATCTTCGATACAGTGATATATAGAAAAATGGCTTTCCAAGCCCTTTTATGGTGATGATTAATTAGGCTTGGTGAGGTTTCTAGCCTTGCATTTTGATGCGGTTTATTATGATTTGTCCGACTATATTATATAGGATAAAAAATAGCGATGTTTAATGAGTCGGGCACTGCCGGAGTGTTGATCCGGACAAACAATGCCGTACAAAGAGACAGCCATGATAAATGCGCATATACACACATATATATATATGTATATATGTATATGTATGTATGTATGTATGTATGTGTATGTATGTGCTTGGAAAACGACGAAAGGCGATTTCTTGTCAATTGAATGGTGGCAATATTACAATTGAGAGGACAACAAATACGAGAGGGGTCAGTTTTCTGCCATACATAACTAATGGTTCCGAAAAGAGTGGACGAGAGTGGTGTACCATCTATCATTACCATTATCATGTTTCACTATTTGAACGCAAACAAATGCCTTCACGTTGCAGGCGAGGATCAGAGGGCGGTGGGAGACGTTCACTTCGGTAAACCGATGGACCGTCGGAATCAAATCCGTCACGGACACGAAGTGGGTCGTCGTCACTCGTCGGATTCAGATCTTTTCCTCGACGGCTCGTTCGCTGAGATGCACCGCAAGAAGAAGGAGATGATCATCCGCTCTCGCTTTTTCGATTTTCTTGGCGTTGGGGCTTCTTCATGAGTAGGCTTCACCGCAATGATAATAATAATAATAATAATTAAAAAAAAAACAGAATAAGAGGGTTTCTTTTGTAACCCTGTTGTTGTTGTTTTATGCGGTGGTGTTTGCTCTTTTAGGGGGTTTTTTTAATGGGAATAGAGAGCGGGAGAGGAAAGAGAGAATCCATTTCGGTAGAAACTGAAATCAATATATAAACTTGTATGATATATATATATAGAGAGAGAGAGAAATAAATGCATAGGTTTTATTTCTAGAGAAAAACGACAAACAAAATTGATGTATATAATTGAATTCTTTAAAAAAATGATGTATGCGTACGAACATATACGGTATAATGTAATGAATTCATCAAAGGAACTTAACGGGCCAAGATCTTCTCAGTGTCTGTATTGCTTAAAGAATTTCGGGCCCATTTATCAGTTATTAAGCCCATATTATTATGGGCCTAAAGAAGGCCCATATTCAAAGAGGGGGGGGGGGGG